ACCCTGCTATTTATCTACAGTACAACACATTTTGCAATTTGTAACATACCAGAAACAAAAATAAATTGTAGAGCTCGCCAAATTCATTTGAATTTGTTTGGTGAATAGGGCTTGGTACTAAAGATACATTTGAGGAAGGAGAAGGCAATCACTTCAGAAGGGTATAATGGGGAATTGGGAGGGGGGTAGAAAAAGATATCTTAGTTCTCCACCCACATCACAGAAGCCTATTTTCCATGAAAGTCCACTTGGGTACACTGGAGGTCGTTTACTGTTGTATGCACCATTGGTTAGGGGTTTGGACTTGTAACAGAAAAGTTGTTGGTTCAAATCCCAATTAAGACTCTACTCTTGCACACATCAGCAAGATGCTTCATCTGAATTTTTCCAGCAAAATATCCAGCTCTATAAATAGGTGCAAAAGATTTTTTGGGGTTTCGAGACAGTTGTGCCCCAGTTTTTAAGGCATTGGCCTTGAAAACTAATTCCAGCACAGATCCAAACATTAAGTAACATAGTTGGGTTACTTGGGTTGTGGAAACATGCAACAAGCTACCCAGCTGATACCCTTTTTCAAGAAATGGCCAATCAACTACTAATTACTAGATGGGATAAATTACCTCCTCTTGTTTATAACTGGAAAACATTCAAGAATAGTCTGCATGTGTGGGGAAATTTACTTTCTCCAGACAGGTAAGATTAGTTTCCCTGTCTGCTAGGAAAAATAAACTTCTGTTAAGATTTTTGTTGAAGGGGGCCACTTAGTGTAAGCTGTCTCGCCTTTACCCTGAAGAAGAGAAAATGCATCTTGTGATACAAGTTTCACAGTTCACTTTCTGTACCATCCCAATAACATATACAGATGCAGCCATTCAAAGTTCGCGGTACAAACCCGTACCGCAGGCAACTACGTGTGCACCACCACGCCGTACCACAGTATGTGATTGGCTGGGTCGTGGTGCATTGGTCGGTAGTGGAAAGATTTAATCATTTAATCTCTTTACTGTGCACATTTTAATCCGCTTAGTATTGAATATTTAGATGGAATTTTGCAACTAAAGGGAAATTGTAGTAGCTGAGCATAAAAAGAAGAGGAGCATAACGCATCTGAAGGTCATAATATTAATTTAGGAACATAAACACATTATGGAAACTGTATATTGCTGCTCTTTGTACCATAGTTTAAAGAAAAAATACACACCAGTATTCAATTTCTCCCTAAACATTTTAAGCATCAATGTCTCACATGTGGTTATTTCGGAAATGTTTTTACGTGATCCTTCTGACCATATATTACTGTACATTTATTTGCTTTGTGAAAATTGATAGTTTTAACCTTTTCAGCGAATACGCTCGTTATCGGATTAAACAAAAGCATACTTTTAGAATTGGATTAATAGGGAATATAATATGGATTCGCGTATCTAAATAAATTAATAACGGTGTAACTATATTCATGTACTGTTGCACAAATAGTAGTAGTAGTGATATGCACATGTCACATGAGTGCCTCAGTGGCGTGATAGATTAAATGACTAATTTAAAACACAGAGGTTGAGTGTTCAAACCCAGCTGTCACCATCAGTTTTCTTTTAACAAAAACATTTCTTTGAAAAACTAAATAGCAAATATTATTGCCATTATATTGACATTTTTTACATTTCTAAATATCACAACATGTTCGTACTGTATGTACACAGCAGTACTGCAGGGTGTAGGGTGTAAATCCATGTGAGCGCGAAAACTCTACATTAATGTTATGCATTCGCCAGCACTGAGCGGTTATCGCATCTCTCTCTCTGTCTACATCTACATTGTTTGTAAACAAACCGGTTTCACAGGTATTTGCAAAGTAGAATAAGGGCAAGTCCACCTTCCCCCAATGACATGTTTTCTTAGAAAAACAGATTCACAACATAAAGCTGTGTCAGTCTTCTGTGTAAAAAAAATCGGTTTGAACATCATGGGTACTGTTTTTAAGACGCCGCTGAGTAAAGTATAGGAATTTTCCTGCTGTCAGCAGTATTGTGTGTATAGTTAACCCTTACCTGAATGAAAACAGGACATAAAGAAAGGGATTCAGAAATCAAACAAAGCTTTATTCCCGTGCTTTCAGTCTGGGTAATTGGAGGCTGCGCTGTTTTTTTATTTTTATGCGCGAAAAACAGGTGATTTTTCTTCCTTGTGTGTGCTGTAAGGGTTTCACTTCTTAATTAAACGTTTAAAATACATAAATGAATTTAATAAAAACATGTTTCGAATAGAAAAAATCATATTCTGTTGTCTTCCTGGTATGTAAAACAGATCAGCAGGTCTTTTTTTCCCCATTCCTGTTCACCTTTTACACCTCTGACTTCAGGTACAACTCTGAGACGTCATCTGGAGAAGTTTTCAGATGACTCTGCAATTGTGGGGTGTATTAGAGAGGGGAGGGAGGAGGAATATAGGAGCTTGATTACCAACTTTGTGGAGTGGTGTCATCTTAATCATCTCCAGCTTAACACCAGCAAGACCATAGAAATGATCTTCGACTTTCGAAGGAATAAGTCTCCGCTGAACCCTGTTTCCATCGAGGTTGAGGACATAGAGGGCGTACATTCCTACAAGTACTTAGGGGTACACCTGGATGATAAGCTGGAGTGGTCTGGCAACACTGACGCCCTGTACAAGAAAGATCACAGCCAACTCTATTTTCTTAGGAGACTCAGGTCCTTTGGTGTGTGTGGAACACTGCTACACATTTTTTATGAATCAGTGGTGGCGGCGGCCATCTTCTACGCTGTTGTGTGCTGGGGCAGCAGCATCATGACAAAAGATGCAAATATGCTCAATAAACTTATCAAGAAGGCTGGTACTGTGTTGGGGATGAGCCTTGACCCCATAGAGGTGGTGGCAGAGAGGAGAATGCTGACCAAGTTCTCAGCCATCATGAACAACACCTCTCATCCACTTCATGGGATTGTTACTGGGCAGCGGAGCACTTTTAGCAAAAGACTGCTCCAGCTACGGAGTTCAAGGGAACATTTCCGCAGGTCTTTCCTCCAGTCGGCTGTCAGGGTCTATAACGCTGCCCTAGTGTAGGACTGTTAGCCCTTCATTTGCTCGACAGCATGTTTGCTCCATTGTACTTCTTAGCGTAGATAAAAAGCTTGGATTTTCATGTATCTGATATCTTTTTCTGCTGTCTTTGTTGCGCTCTTGAGGATCCTTGTGATATTTTGAGCTCTCGTTGAATGATAAGTGTCGCATAGTTTAAATCATTTTCATTCTTAGAAATTATGAAATGCTTGGTTAAAAGCAAGGGAGATTATGTCTGTTATAGTGGACATAAAAATGAGAGTTTGCTGTGGCATTATAAGAAACCCAATTTTAACAACAAATCGCTGGCATTTTATCCTAGAAGGCACTGAGACAAGGACCAGTAGGAACGCTCTTGGAGCGAGAAAGAAAATGCCTGAAGAACTAGGGATTGGACAGTTTTTCAGTGCTTGTACAATTGATGGAAATGTTCAAATAAATGTGCTAAAGAAATGAACAAAAAACGTCATTTATTCTTTTATTATATTGGCTAGCTAATGTCCTGTCCTTGTTAGTTAGTTACTTGTGGCTGTGACTTACTTTGTATGACTGGAAACGAATGCGTGATCGGATCAACGAAATGCTGTTACTTTTTGTCAATGAAAAAATAAAGTATTTTCGTTTACAAAGACGGTTACAAAGAACGTGGACCAGGGTTATACTTTGAGTTTACAGGTTGTCCAAGGTCATTCATTATTAATACTGTAACGCAACGGGGGCTCAGGCGGGCGCCCTTGCCGCATTAGGTCGGCCCCATCCCCACTGAGGCTTGAACCCGGGACTCCCGCATCTCTCTGCAGTGACCTAGCCCCGTGAGCTAAAGAGAGATCTCTCTACAGCCCAGTAGAGAGCTGTAGTCCTGCTATCACAGGGAAGGGCGGTGACATAACCTGCTCTGGTACGCCGGCTCTTACACAGTGCCTGTCGGCCGTAAGCGTTACAATACTATTAGTAATATCTTCGGTAAAGACTTTGAAGCATAAAATATTTCTGCATAATTAAAATATTTATGATAAAGGTAGGTTGTGTACTTTTGCCCAACTGAGCAATCTTGATTTCATAAAATATACCAACTTTTTAATTAATGATGATTAACATGGTGAAATACACAGTTTAAATTTAAAAACTCAAATGCTGTACATGAGAGGTTAAGCTTTATTAGCTCCTCCTGGCGGTTTTACAAGGTGATTCCGGATACTATTAACATAACCTAATTTGCATACGGTGATTTCAGGTATGAAAATTATACCACGTTTTGATGCGACACGCCAACCGCGTTATACCGCAGCGTACCCCGTTTGTTTTGAATGGCTGCATCTGTACTTGTCCAGAGAGAAGTTACTACAACTATTTTATTCCATTATTTTGTAATAAACAATTCCTAAACTCTGACGGAGTCTTTGAGCACGCAGCTAGTGTCAGGGAAGTTTCTTCTTGGTAATGGTTTTAGTAAGAATGATTAAAAGATTTGAGTCTGCCTTTGTTAAGAGCAAACACCAGCAATGCAGTGTGGACAGCCTGCCACGCTAATTGCTATGTATGATTTATTAAGTTAAATCCGCAACTTAATGTGGTGTGTAATTACTGCCAATTACTCTGCAGGAAAATTAGGAGGTTATTTTAAGGGCGTAGGCTCCTGGGTGATGGATCCAGTGGATTACCTAATGTAGTGAATGTCCAGCCTTTGGGAGAAATGCCTGTTAACAGTTTGATTGAGTTGTAGATTTTTTCACCTTTCAAAGTAGGTGAAAGACAGTTGGTCCATTCATTTCATTAGGGGTTCCCTGCATTCTAGCTAGAGAACATAATGGCGGTACAGATGCTTAAGTTAATTCAGGCTTTTCTATCAGGTATTAGGTAACAAACCGTACGGAAGCAATGCACCCCCTGTGTGAGTGGCCCCTGTGCTGCCTGGCACAGACCTTGGCTGCAATGGCAGCGGCAGTGATGTGAGACGAGGAGCTGTCCTCTGTGGATGCCACTCCGCTATCCTTCTTCTCCTCCTCCTCTTCCTCGCACTGTACTCCCTTGTCTTCCGTCTGCTTGTGGGGGCTGGTCGTAGGAGGTGGGGACAGCGGAGGAGGGGGTGAAGGGAGGTCCTCCAGTTCATCATGAACCTCCTTGACTTTCACAATGGCATCCCGCAACAAGTCAATGGCATGAGGTAGAGCAGGCAGGATAAACTGGAAGCATTCCTGAAAATAAAAAAAAATTGATTCAGCTAAGGACTTCAGCTAAGGGGCTCCACTATTAAACCATTGACTTCAGTGAAAATTTTAATTTTATGCCTTTCACATGGGATTGTACTTAACAAGCCTTTTAGGGCAAAACCTTTTAACTAAACTAGGCCTAACTGCTGCACAACCCAAAGACCTTTTAAGCACAAAAGTGTCTAAAATATATGTAGAACTATTACTTTGCACTGAACATATGATTAACTTTACATCATACTTCAAACAAAAAGAGGATCTTCCATTTTTTAAGTGTAACGAATGAATTAACTGATAACGAAATAATTCAAAACTATAGATAACAATCAATGATGAAATAAAAGAATAGTCACATTTGAATAGTCATACATGTCATCGGTGCACCAAATTTAACCAGTTCTACACAACAAATAATCTTAATAAAGGAAAATTTAATGAATAGAATATTAAATATGTAACTGTTTTATGAATTAATTTTCATAAATAAATATGTAAAAATACAGTTTTATCTGGAGAATTACAACAGTAAATGTGTCTCAGATTTTTCGGTGTAGAGACGCAAAGAAAGGCACGACAAAAAAAGTAAAGTTCTTGAGTGCACATATCTGAAATTTAGATTATCGTAAATAATATAGAACAACTTTTTTAGGCAAAATCCAGCTGGTCTGGTAACACAAGAGTCTACTGTATATATTGCCACAGGAAAATGTAGTTTTCAGATTAAGGTTTCAGCTTGACATTTTTAAACTGCCAACTCTCATAGCATCTAACATTAACATCAACATGAGGAATTACAAAGCTCTCACTAACCAAACTGAAGGTTCACAGACACCCATAAAGTAGAGGATCAATTGGACTGCACAGGACCACCCAAAGCCTTCTGGTGAAACATACTGTAGCAATAGTAGGCTGGTGGACAGAGCTGAAACTTAAACTGATGAGGCTGAGACCAAAGGTCAAAACCTGTTCTCAAAGGGCTCAATCTTACAGGTGAGTATCATCACTGCTGCCTGTCTCCTATAACTAAACAGGATGAAAACAGTTGTTTCCTTACATTTTGTAAAATCATAGTAGTACTATTTAGCTGAATTGTCAGGAATAACCCTAAAAATACATATTAGACACCATTCCACAAAAGGATGAAGCCCTAAATTTACAAGTCACAGCCAGATTCTTGTCCAAGTTGGCTGTAACCCATACTAAAACATTTGACAAAAGTGCACAAAATGCAAGGTAGAAGCTGTCCCTAAACACAGTTGGATTTGCAAGAATGCATAATGTACTTGAATAATATCACCTTAACCTTCATATTTCAGCCAGAGTATTTGCCATTATTAACACGTGGTATATTTATGAGATCATTACAAAACTTGCTGGAAATGTACAGGAACCTCTATGCAGTAGATGGCATGGAGATAAAGATTTCCTATTACGTACAGTACAAGATTGCCTTGAAAGTGTGTATGCATAACAAATGTATTAAATCGGCTTCAGGGTAGTGCCTTTACAGTACAGATGCAGCCATTCAAAGTGCGCGGCACAGACACTGTAGGTAAATGGTGTCATGGAAATATACCTATCAAGGAAGCCACGAGAGAGAGTTCTCACCTGAGTAAGGTCTTTATTTCAATATTGCAATATTGGGAGCCCTGTTGCCACTCTGCAAAGTGCATCAGAGACTCAATTTAATACAAGCAATACAGGGTTTTTATAAGATGTTGCGCTGTAAGAGAAAGCTCAGCACTTTGTCCCTTCTAACACTTCCCCTTTCCCTAAGACTAAACAGATTACATCATAAAAACGAAAGAAGAAGCGCCACTAGATTTGTTTTTCAAAGCTTACCAGTTACTTTCGGCTAATCTAATGACCCAGACAGCATATATTGTTTTGGTACATTGTCTTCTAAAGTAACCTAAACAGTGTGTACTTTGTTATATATTTTCCTAAAGCTACATTTTAAGAATCAATTTACTTATTAGATTTCCATTTCAATTCCCTCCTTTTTATTCTTAAAATGTTTAAAAGTTAGATTCTTCATATGGATTCGCAGGAGGTTCCCATACTTCGGATTCTTGCATTCTTATCAGAATATACTGATGCGTAAACATATTCATTACCATATTTCGAAGCACTGGAATAATACATGTCATACAGCAACATAAACACAGGAAGACAAGTATCACAGCCCCTATAATCGGTGTTAGTAACTTAAAGAAAAACATTCCTCCTGGCCCAAACAGTGATTCTAACCAGGAGACTTAAGCCGGTGTATCTTTTATGCCTCTCTCTTTATTCACCTTGTCTTTTAGTTCTTTCAAATGCTGAATAGCGAGCGTAAGATTTCTGTGATTCCTCTTTCCCTGACATAAGGTCTGGGGTGTCCCCCACCCACATAAGTAGTTGAAACTGTACATCTTTTGCCAAGCAACCTGTGACATCTTTATGCTGTTTTAGTCTAAAAACAGGAAAGCTGTGCTCCTGTGTCCCCCAGTTACTGTACACTGTAAGATTATTTCACTTTTAATTAAATCTTGAGATAAATTTGGGAAGGCTACAAAGGGTCTTACTAGATCAAATCTATTAGTTCACACACGGCTCTTGTTTCAGCTTCTGACATGTTCTTTAATTGTGAAATCAAGCCTCTTTCTTACAATTTCTCCAAACAACACACTTTTTTTTTAGTAACTGAACACCAGCTTATTAGTAGTTTTGTCTTTGGGCTCTTGCCTCCCTTTCCCCCAGGGCTAGTTAACTCACCCCCAAATTGGACATTATTTTCTTGAAGGGGTCTTATATCTTGGTATAATATTAAAGTCGCAATATAATAATTGCGACAAACTGCCGGCTCCTTTTTCTCCTCCTTGGGAGTCTTTTTACCTCCCATTTGCAGCGCTCACACTTCTGCATGCATGCTTCACGAGTTATTAAATCAAATCTGTCTCCGCTCTCCGTAATATCAGGAAAGCATAGTTGTACATTCTTGGCAACATCAGGTTTTAACCCACTCAAGTAAATAATGAGAATCTGGGATAAATCTCCTGATTGGGCATATCCAGATGGGGGGTGAGTTAACTAGCCTTGGGGGAAAAGGCGATGATGCAAAATACCGCGGTACGTGATTGGTTGACTGACAGGGGCACTCGTGGTGCGTTGGTCAGTCGTAGAAAGATTTAAATGTCTTTACTGTGCCCGTTTAAGTACTGAATATTTATATGGGATTTTACCACTGAAGGGAAATCTTAGTAGCATAAAAAGAATAGGAGCATACTGTAACGTGTGTGAAGGCCATAAACGATATTAATTTTGGAACATCAACATACAGTATATGGCTGGTCTCGGTACTTTAAAGAAAAAATACACACCAGTATTCCATTTCTCCCTAAACATTTTAAGCATTGAAGTCTTTAATTAACATGATACCGGAGTCAACAAGCATACTTTTAGAATTTGATTAAAAGGGAATATAATATGGAATCGCGTATCTAAAGAAATGAATAACGATATAATTATATTCATGTACCGCAACACAAGAATAGTACACGCTGTACAATGTCTGTCGATAGTGTTTGAAAAAATAAAATAGGGTTAGTGTTAGGGTTACTGTCAAACTTTAAATCAACAATTGATTTAAGGACGATCTGTCAAAGTGCAATGAAATACAATATTGTTGTTGTTATTGTTGTTTTTACCCTGTAAAGCATTTTGAGAAGCCACCTTTAAAGGCGTTATATAAAAGCATTGATTCTTATGGAATGTGTTTTCTTTCTTCTTTTTTTTTAGCACGGAATAAACCTATTACTTGATTCTTATGGATGCCCGGTTCTGCTGGGGATTAAAAAAAAAACCCATGGAATCGTGTATCTAAGCAAATAGCAGCATAACCTTATTCATGCACAAACAGTTGCATGTTACATTATTAATTTGGGTGTCTCCTCTTGCCAGAAAGCTCTAAATGGCATTTTGAGTGCGGTTTTTGACTTTTTTTAAATTACAACCCATAAATAAAGCTGATACTGTTTAGACTTTTAATTATTTTAAACTGTATTACAGCAGCACAATGCACAATGCAACGTAAATAGCTATCTTTGTCTTCTGCGTAATAATGTTCACTTCTCTGTCCAGCAAATTAACAATAGTAATAATAATGAACTTTATTGGATATAGCGCCTTTAAAGGTGGCTCCTCAAAGTGCTTTACAGGATAAAAACAATAACAACAATACTGTTAGGCTGGGCAATTTTTTTTTTTTTAAAGATATAAAAAATGAGATATAATGATGTGTTCCGGCTTAGACATTAACGAAGAGCATAACGAAGGTCAAAAAGGTCATAAATGATAATAATTTTGGAACATCATTATGTAAACTGTATGTTGCTGTTATTGGTATTTTAAAGAAAATAAATCTTGGGTTCGGTAAAATGTTTCAGGCATTCATGTTAAGGACAACAGAGCTTTCACTGGCCAATTATCAAACTTTATTGATAAAACAAAAACAAAACTATCCGACCAAACCAGAAAAAGAAAAAAAGAATCAAGAATAACAGACACAGCGCGAGCCTGCATTCTCTCCTCAACCGTCCACACCACACTTTTCCCTGGGTCAGAGATAAATAAAATTTCACTCGCACCAAACAAATTGCCACACACTGAACACTGTAGATGTTAACCTGAACCCAAAAGCCAAACATATTGATGTGCATTCGCCTGGCGCAGCACGGTTTTCATCACTCTCTGTGGGAGTGCTGGCGGTGACGAATTAAACTGGTTTCACAGGTATTTTCAAAGTAGAACGGGGCAAGATTTCCAGTTAAAGACACCTCTCCCCCCTCCAAAACCCAGTAAGTACAGTACTTACTTACGGTAGTACTTCTCGCGTTAAGAAAGCTAGGTGCAAGCATAAATTATTAGTAATCAATAATATTAAATTTAGCACTGTAATAAATTGTGCTAATAATAAATTCTATTCTACTCTGAGAATGTAGGGG